TATGTATATATCTTAGAATGACTCAATCATGCTAGTTAATGTATGTGTTGTTTCATGTTTGTGATTATGTCATTTTCCCAGAATTTAATTAAAATAATTTACTTTACAATTCCACAATTATATAAGTAATATCACAATATACATAATGATCTCAATACTACTTTAAACATTTTTCAGGTTTTTAAGGTTATGAATTAGCTTTGCTTTGAACAAATGCTATGGATAGGAGTTACCAAACAGACTACCAAACAGGCTAAGTGAACTTTAATTGTAATTTGATTACTAATCTTTGCAAATAAAGAGAGCTTTTACTAAAAATGTGTTTCCAAGGGTTTTCTAACAAAGAAGGAAAGTCTATTGTACTTATTGAATTAGCTAATCACATTTGTACAGGTTTTTAAGGCACTTCACAATTCCTTAAATACTTCCATGCTAGTTTGATAACATGGTCGATTATATCATTCCAAGTTCATATGGTAAAACATTCAAAGAGTGCACACATTGAAAATGCCTTTTCCAGTGCTAGTCATATTGTAGATACTTGCAGTTATTAATCTGTAAAGTACTCGGTGAGCTACTTGACAAAGCAGGGCTAGAACATCTGTAATCTCATTCAGAGAGCCATCACCTTCCTCATCAATCCCTCTCTCCAGCTTGGGTGAATAAGGTGAAATCTGGATATTCATGACATTTGTAAAGTCAGTAACCCAGAAGTCAGAAATCCAGGGATCACATGTGGGTTTCATGGTCTACACTGCCACTCTACCTCCCTAATGCTGTGTCTCTAACACTCTGCCTGGCAGCAGCCACTCTCAGGAGCATCCCCTCCTTCCATGGCCCTTTTCTGAACAGAGCCCTGCACTGTACTCCCGGAATACTCACTAGTCTGCCTATTCCCTGTGTCTGGAGTTGAAGACCAGCTGTCCTCTCTCATGTCCTTATTGCCCGATGCTGGCAGTCTCTGGTATGAGTCAAATGTTCAATAAATATTTTCTGAATAAATTAATGAACCAGCTAAACTCCAAATGATGTAAACCTGAGCATTTCCTTATTTACCATTACATTTAATACCATAAAATGAGGAAGAAAGCTGGTAATCTCAGCCTATTTCTAACAATGCAATACTGCTCATGCTCCTATTTGTGTATGTGGCACTACCATTCCCATGGGCACTGCCCGGGGTCAGCTGTCAGAACCTGTGCTGCCTTCATCCTCTGACTGCAGATCAGCTTCTGATTGTGTCAGCATGAGGTCGTGAGTTCGATCCATGGTACCAAAAAAAAAAAATCTTCTTTGGGGTCATATGTTTAAGAGGAATTACAGTTCTCCACTTGCCATTTATTTTTTCAAATACCAATTCTGAGTTAAAATGCTACTGAAGCTTCTACTGGTTTTAGTGCTTTACATGTTGTATAAAACTTCCAGATTTAAACTTTTATGTGGTTATTGTGGATTATTCTGTCAAAATAAGATGGTAATAATATGTGTATGAAATGCATAGTTTCATTCTACTAATCTTAACAAGTACCTATTATGTGCAGATTGTCCTCAAGTCACAGTAAGGGAGGTAGGAATCCAAAGATGTCTCGGGTATAGATCCATCCTTAGCAGAGTTTAAAATCTCGTATTGATTCTTACTTATATGTTGTTTCTCCATAGACACATAGGCACTGAAACTGAAAGCATTTGTAAAGTATTCAGTGTTGATGTTTAGAAACAGCCAAATCATTGCTAGGTGGACAGCTGGAAGGGAAAATCTAAAGCCTGGATGACCGTTATGCATGGTTTTCTGAAATAGTAGAGATTTGCCTACATTTGGGGCAGATCTGAGGCATCAGCTTTAGGAGCTAAGAAAATTAATAGAGACCTTTATTGTAAGTTAACAAAACACCCATTGGTTTGTCACATAAAAGCACACAAGCATCACTTGTCTGTGGATTGATTGTGTGAGTCTTTAATCATGTGTGATTTAGGTGCTGAATACTTTTCATTAAGTCCAGAAAAGAGGGTCAGTTTTATTGAGGCTCTGGCTAATACTATTCAACTTTCTTATCTGAAAGTATAACAATATAGAACAAACTAGGACACAAGAACAAAGGAGAAAAGCTAGTAATAGGCCAAAATGATGGTGATTCTCAAATGCTGAGTAACCCGTGTGTATTTCTTATGAAACAACTCTAAATTTTCAGGTTAAAATGGAAACTGATCAGTTATAAAATTCAATGGCCAGAGAACTGAAATAATTCTTAAAAAAGTAAAATCCCATTTGATATTAAGAGCAGAGAAAACTCTCTCTAGATATTCTCCCAGTGAGATTTTGCATAAGTTAATGTGTAATGTTCTCCATTTTCATAGTAGACATAATTTTGAATCTTGTGTCTACACTGACTTGGCAGAATGTCTACCAGTCTCCATTTGAAGGGTTTGTATTACTCAGCCTCAAACAAGCCAGTGGGCTGTAAGTAGTAGTACATATTGAAACGAGGTAACCAAGACCCCGTGAAGCTACGAACTTCCTCACAGTCAGGCTGTTAATAAACGGTGGAACTGGAATCAAAACCTGGATGGTCTGATTCAGCACCTGTGGTCTTTTTTAATAGATTGCATTATCAATTAAATATATTAAAAACCCATTCAATATACAATACTCAGGTCTCCTCCGGTTATTAATCTGTGGGGAATGGAATGCCAAAGATGGGGTCAGGGTTGCATATTTTAGTTGACCTTGCTCTCTTTCAGACGTTATCTCCGACTCTAGACCCTGCACATTTGTTTACATGCATGTGTGCACATACCTTTGGTACAAAAGCAAAACAAAACAAAAACAAATGAACATTCCAAAAAGGACTAGGAAATCTATGGCTTCCTGACTTTGAGGAGGGAATGGCAAGTCCACGCCCTTTTTATGGCATATAGATATAAGATCCAAAATAGAGCAGTAACAAAATAGATTTTATTTTGCTATTTTTTTTTTTTTGTCTTTTTCATTTTTATCGGTACTGGGGATCGAACTCACGACTCTCTGCTTGCAAGGCAGGTACTTATGCCGCTGAGCTAAATCCTCAGCCCCTATTTTGCTATTTTTTAAAAAGTGGTATCTAGAAACATGTGAATGGTGACTAAATTTATTTTTCTTCACCAGTCATGAAAGTTGATTGACAATCAGCAAGGCAAGCCTTAAAAGGAATTTACTAGGGAAATGATCATCGAAACGTTTTTAGAAGAGTCAAAACTTATAGTTTGAGTTTTAAATGGAGCATTTAGAATGATCTTTTAAGCTCAGCATTAGGATAGATGTGTGGTTAATATCTTTGCTAAGAAAACTTAAAAGGCATAATCTATAAAATGACTGTTCTATATACATACATCTCCTTAACAACACATTTCTGTGGCATTTTAAAGGAATACTTAGTCTAGCTCAGTGAAGATGCTAGTGCTCCAAAAAGATTCAATTTCTATATCGGGACCAACTTAATGGCTTACTACACAGACTTATAAAGTGCTTCTCAGAATGATAATCTGTTAATGACTAGCTCAGTTCTTGAAAGATTCGTCCTGTCAAGAGAATGCAAATAAAAGAGTGGTGCTGAGTTACGGTACACAAAGTACTGGCTAGGGATCAAGACCTTTGCAGTTCCCAGGTCTGTGCTGTCTGATAAACACCTGCTGTGTCCCTTTTCTCATGCTCTTGGAGTGAAACTGATTCCTCACCAACTCTGATACCTGCCAGCTGGATGATACTGGATTAGTCAGTTAAACACTTCAAGCCTTTGGTTTTTTAAATTTATTTTTAATTTTTTGTTTTTATTTTTTTCACCTATAAATTGGCTTACCTATAAATTATGCATTCACTGTGTATAAGCATCATGCTTTTGTATACTTTCAATCTTCACTAAGAATCTTTCTCTTTTTCTTTCTCTCTCTCTCTCCTTCCTTCCTTCCCTCCTTCCTTCCTTCCCTCCTTTCTTCCTTCCTCCCTTCCTTCCTTTCCAGAGTAGCCTAGGCTGGCCTTCAACTCATGATCTCCTGAGATTATAGGCATGTGTGACCACTCCTCTATCAGTTCTGACCTAGATCCCCGATCTTCCAAACAAATGTATGGCAGAGGTTAAATAAAAAGAGACAAATTATATGAGTTTTAGGGCTCCAGGAGGGTCAAAACCTTTTAGTTGAGCTTGTGACTCCGCAGGCTATGACAAAACATTCTCTGGATTAGCCTACTTTTATTAGAACTAAGACAAAAGACGTAGAAACTGAGAAAGCACAGGAAATGAGCAGGACCTTGGGGGTCACTTCAAGAACTTCTCCAAGTAGTAGGTTAAGCCAATTTAGGAGAACTATCTTATCTCCAAGAAACATTTATGGTAGGCTTGAGACTGCAGGAGTGAGATTCCTGCAGCTGCAGTCTCTATATACTTAGTGTTGGAGCCAAGGTATCTTCAGCTGTGGCCTTATCTTGCCCTTTGAGGTATCTCTGGTCTCACAGGCCACTATGGGCCTCAGCCAGGACTAGTGATTCATAGAGGTTCACTTACTATGAATCAGCTCCTATCGCCAGGCAAGGAGCAGAGGCCTGGAAGAGACTCACAGATAAACATAGAAAGCCAATTAGTAAAATCTAAATCCTGCTCAGAGCTGCTGGGTAGTGGTCCCCAGCATACTCCTGGTCTATAATGATCTTAAATAGAATATTCACCATTGTTACCCCGGAGGTCACTGTAACAGTTGAGCTTACTGCAGATGAGAGACTAGGAAATATGAACCGTGCGAGTGAGATATTTATGTAAAGTACAAGATACCTGGTGCAAAGCAGATTCTCCAGAAGGGTGGCTGATGCTGTTCCTGTCAAATCTGTCTCACTGATCTGCTTCTCTTGTTTTAGGCATGTTTTGAAGATTAATGAGAAGAGAACCACATGGTTAAGCAACATGAGGTTCAGGAATATGATAGAGGTTTAAATTAAAGAGTATAAATAAAACTGAATTTTTATTTTCTTACAGGAGTGGCAGAAACTCAACTATGATATCTATACCCTGCGGCAGATTAGAAGGGAAGTGAGAAACAGATGGAAACGCATTTTAGAAGATTTGGGTAAGTCTGAAAGAGTTTGTGAAGTAGTAAAAATAACTAGTTGTGGTTATTACTTTTCACTTTCTCCACCATGTTTTTTATAAAAAAGAATGTCAGCAATTGGCTAATTAAGGCTACCATGTAATTATTTTCTCAATCTTGCTTTATATATTCATACTATATTCAACGTCTGATATTTCTGTTGCCACCAACCTGTGTCTTGAGAGGACCCACTCCATGTCATTCCTTGTGCCAGTCTGTCTATCCTAGGACAGGTAGCCCTGGGTCGTGTAGTCAGGTGGAAGGTGCTGCTTACTGTTTTGCCACTGTACATGGATTATATTAGATTGGGGTGGTTGGGAGAAATATTTGTGACAGTCATCAAGGCAGTACAAAATTTCAGAAGTAAAAGGAAGAATTTTTTGTTTGTTTGATTACTCTGGGAAATCTCTGGTATTTATTTATTTAGTACCAGGGATCAAACTCACAACCTCATGCTTGCCTGGCTGGTGTTTATGCCACTGAGCTATATCCCCAGCCCAAGAAGAAATGTTTTAAGATTGGGAAGATCACCTGTGACAGTAAGGTAGATTTTGGGTAATATTTTTTCTTCTTTCTGCCAGAGTTGTGATGTAATCAGCAAGGCCTCTCAACATAACTTTGTTTTAATACTTAAAGAACAAATTTATCAATTTTGAAAACGTTGATCCTTCTGCTTTGAATGTGATGACCCAGCACCATAACTTTTCAAAGGTGGGGTCCCAAGTTGCTAACCTCTGTTCTCTAACTGGGGTGCAGTGAAATGAGACGAACTTTTGCCCTCTTAGCTCATTCCAATTTTGCTGTTAGTCTCCTTTTTACAAGGTAAGTTACCTAGGCAGGTTTATGTCTTTTCTCCTTTGGCTAAATAATTTTCACCAGCCAGCCCTATTGTCCAGAGGAGTCTTTGTAGGTTGGGGATCAGGTAGGAATTCTAGGGACAGGAAGAGGGTTTCAGACTAAATGAAGGGCAGCTGACAGGCAGTGGCTGGGTATGTGAGGTGTAACTCAGAGAAAACTCTTTAACAAGGAAGTCCATGAGAAAGAACATTAAAACAGTTTTAATTCAAGACATTTCTGGGCACACTGTACTGGGATGTAGCGTGTGGAAGACTGTCACTGGCTTCAGTTCTGGTGTTTGTGCAGATTCTGCATTTGGGCTCCCTTTTTGTCTGTGGCAGGGCCTGGGATTATAGGACAGTCAGTTTCTTAGTGACTATTTTAATGAAGGGCAAATTTTTCTACCTTAGGTTTTCAAAAGGAAGTTGATTCTTTGTTGTCAGTGACTAAACTTAGCACCATGAGTGATTCTAAAAATACGAGGAAAGCCCGAGAGATGTTGTTGAAACTGGCTGAAGAGACCAGCATTTTTCCAACCAGTTGGGAGTTGTCTGAGAGATATCTATTTGTCGTGGTAAGTGGATACCTTTCTTTATTGGCTCTGGTTTTGCTCCAGATTCTCACCTTTCCTATTATTCCTTACACCCCATTCCAACACCAAAGGACAAGGTGTCAGATGGTACTGCCATTATACACAGTGGGTTCTCACTGGCCAGCAACCACAGAAGCACCTGAAAAGCTTTGAAAACCCAGATTTCTTTTTTATTTTAATTTTAAAATTTTTTATTTTTTTGCTTAAAAAAATTTTTTTTTAAACCCAAATTTCTTGATCACACCTAAAGCCTTCGCAGTTTGGGTTGTGGCTTAAGCATTTGTGTTTCTCAGCTGGTTCTGTTGTGCAGTTGGGATTTTGAACCATTTGTAGGTTAATAAACAAAAAAATATTGTTTATTTCAATTCAGATTGAAAAATAATTTGAAAAGACTCTAGGACAGGAAGAGTATTTTTAAATAAAATAAGTAAAGAGTTAAGGTGTGTCTCTGAATTTTTAGAAAAGTTTAAAAAGTCTTTTACTTGCTTGCCATTTCTAAGATGGGTTATGTTTCTGTTAGATTGATACTCCTTTCCTTTTGACTTGGTGTCTAATTTGGCAATCTCTGTCTGTCTTTCTCTTTTGCAGGATCGACTCATTGCTCTGGATGCTGCAGAAGAATTCTTTAAGATTGCTAGTCAAACTTATCCCAAGAAGCCTGGGGTCCCATGCCTGGCCAATGATCAGAAAAAACAACCCTACCTTCCATTTCCAAGTCCCTAAAGGACAAGCTCAAAAGCAGAATGAAAATTCTTCCACTGGGACTCAATAGCGAACCAACATCGGACGACTACACATAGAACAAAGTGGGCAAATAGAGGGCTTGCTAAGGGAGAAATGGTTCTGAGTCCTACAGAGATGTAAGGTCTTCCTGAGGACCTTATTCTAAGAAATATTCCTGTTGCATTGAAACACCTGAAGCTCTTGCATTTAGAAGAATGTTAAAGAGTTGGTTAGTGGGATAGTTCATTGTGAGTGATCAGATTCCAACAGTCCATTGCCATAAATTTGGTTTTGAATGTACTATAAGTTCTAATCATTAATCATCTTGGGGAAGTGGTGTCATCTAAGTAATAAAACAATATGGTTAATAGAGCTATCCTTGAGCCCCATGATGGATTACCAATTTAACAATAATTATAAAATATAATACTGGGAAAAATGCTCCAAATAGTGTTAGACATTATATAACTTCTGTTTGATCAGGAAAATCTGGTAGAGCATAGGCTATCAGAGGCATCATTCTGAGTATGTGATGATTGTCCAGAACTGAGATGAATCAGATAATAGAAATGTCTAGAAGTGTTGCTCAGAAGTGAGTTCCAGATAGAACTCCCTGCAGCTACACGAGAAAGGTCTGTCCTACTTGTGGTACATACCTCACAAGCCCCCCATGTTGTTAATAGCCTGTTACCTCAGTTTTGCTTACTCATTTTTAGTCCAGAAGCCCTTGGCGTTTTACCTGGGGTGGCACCTGTAAATGGAAATGTCTGACTTCCACCTCCATGTCTTTATTCTGTTTCTGGCTTTTGAGCTGAGTCCCTGCGAACTTCCCTTGCAGACGTGGCAGTGCATAGGCAGTGAGGCACTGAAGGTCATTGCTGGAGCTTCTTCCACTTGGAAGATGATTTTCAAAATGGAGCAGTTTGGCCCGTGCAGCTCGCTGTTCATGTACTGAGAAATTCACCTTCAAAAATGACGTGTCACTTAAGTAAGGAGCTTTCCAAGAGATTGGGCTCACTTTATTAAAAAGACTTTAAGGACTTGTAGGATATATCAGTAAATTTCTAAGAAAAATGGCATATTTTTATTTTTTACGGATTTTTGCACTTCTGACTTCAAGTTAAAACTAATTTGTATTGGTTCATCCAGGGGATTGTAACTTGAAAATTTTCATATCCTATTAGCTTTTATAGCAGTGTAGGCAATGTTCTTAGGAGATCCATGTTGTCCATTTGTGAATGCATTGCAGGCCAATTTAACTGATATGTTTCAGGAACATTCTTCCTGGTTTAGTAAGCTAAAAGTTTTATTTTTTATACTTAGTGCTTAATCCCTGTCTCATGTTGTTTAAAATTATCCTAAAGATGTTTTCCCTCTCTCCTGTAGACATTTAGAAGACAACGTATAGTGAAACAATAAAAAACTTAAAATATTGAACTGTTTTAATTTCTATAATTAAATATAATTTCTGATTGTCTTTCTGCCTTTATTGATATCAAAATGGATGAGATTATTTTGATCAATGGATATAAATTGTTACTATAGTTTTTAGTTTTGGTAATGAACAAGTACAAGTGGTAAAATTGTCTTTTGGTTATTAAAACACATCAAATTATCCAGGAAAAAATTTTCCAAGGAATTAAAAGCTTTCCATATGTACTTTTAAATCATGTGTGTTATGTTTCTGACAAATAAGAAGGAATAGGTACTTTTGCATTAACCCTTTAAGTTAAAAGTCAGAGAAGTTGAGAGACAGATAGGTTTAAGGACATCTTGTCATCCCTAATCCAGTCAAGGGATGGATTTTGCTTAAGTGAGTGGAGGTCACAATGTAGGGGAAGGCTCAGAAGTTCCTGAGCACATTTTGAAAGTCAGGGGCTATAGATATAGGAGGCTAGAAGGGTTTTCTACTTTTTAATCATTTCCTTATTGACTGTTTTTAGTAGATCTCAAAAATTCATCTGTGCGTGCAGGGTGATTTCAAGTAGATGAATGAAAAAATTTTTTTGTGGTTAACACCATTTAGAGTTTTTTTAGTGTGTAACGGGGATGTTCCTATGACTAGCAGATCAAACGTCTGATTTTATGTTCCTTAAATATTATTGCACAGAACAATAAAGTATTTGTGTTTTCTTAAATGTAGGGACTCCCAAGGAGGCATGTTCACAAAGAAATGAGGATGTGTTGGCAAGGGGCACCAGTGTCATTGAGATGTCTAGGCCAAATGCTGTCATAGAAGTGGACTCGGCAGCAGAAGTGTGGAGGAACAGTGCTCTGTGACCCTGTGCCACTGTCAGAGAAAAGTGAGCACAGTTAGCAGTGAGTGACCTGTCAAGAGCTTTCACGATAGTTAATGGGACACAGTAAATTAATAGTAAACAGTATGAGTATGGATCAAGCTGTGACACTGAATGATCTCAAGGAGGGTGATCAGGAGATAGTGCACAGCTACCTTAGTACAAGGTTATGAATTCTTGCTGTGCTTTTAGACCTTCATTAATTTTTCAAAACAGAAACTATTGACTAAATGCCCAGTCCCCAAGAAGAACTAGTGATACATCACAAGTGTGTCTACCAGCAACTCCTGTATGATTGTTTACTAGGCTTATTGTACACCGTGGAAGGAAAGTACACCATTACCATGCGACACAAGGTCCAAGTTGATGCTGACATTCTGGAACCAGAGTATTCTTGCAGTCTGCCTTTTATTTTATTTTATTTAAAGAGAAAGAAACAAAAAAATACATGGAGATAAAAAGGGTAGAAATAATACAGAATTACAGAAAAATAAACGGTAAGAAATCACCAGTTGAAAAGTTACATATTGTCATCAAAAAATAGTTGCTCAGGTTACAAAATTAAAGTATGTAAAGTGACATTCAAATAGTGACACTGCCAACAGTTCTGCTCAATGATCTATCAAAACTTTAGTAATATGGTTATCAGTCCTACACACTTGTTTTTTTATCTTAAAGAGGGTAAGATTAAACATATCAAAACAGAACAAAACAGTTCAAAAAGAAACAGTTTAAAGAAATACAGATTTCAAAGCAAGTCCACTGGGGATCTTCACTGTTTGTCTAATTGTCTCTAGTTCCTTCCCAATAGTTGTCCCCATCTTCACGCACATCAAATACATACTGTATATTATTCAACTAATCAAATCATTACAGGATGATGAAGGCTTTTTAGGTCTTCAAGATCTGACATTGGGGAAGATAATAACTATCATCGCGTCTCTCATTCTCTTTGTAGTAGCTGTCCTTATCTTTACATATGCTGAAATTGAACTTAAGACTAGACTAACATCACTCTGATCAGTGCATAATAGTATTGCTAGATTTATATCATAATGCTACAGAATTAGCAGCAGTCTGCCTTTTAGAGTGGGAGCATATGTGATCCAGATAATAGATGGCGTTCTTCCCAAGATCACCAAATTCATGGATCTTTCAGTAGGCATCCCCCTACTGCCAGAATAAATTATTGGACTGAACGTGCTTGGCTGTTGGCAGAAACACTATTCTTTTTCTTGACTTTGTGGGTTTAAAAATTATCTCAGTGGAAAAGCCAAGTAGAGACCCCTGAAAGTTCTCCACACCCTGGCCAAGATAGTAAACTAAAACCACCCTTCTATCCCAGGGAGACTCCAGACACTACTGTTAACTGAAGTCCATACTAACACACATAGTTACTGAGATACACTTAGTAGTTACCTGACTTTTTGTTGTTCCGAGATCTCGTCTAGGACACTGTACTGTTTTTGGCTGTCACTAGGAATCCTCCTAGTTTGATAGCTTCTTAGGCCTTCCCTGCCTTCAGTGATTTTCATTTGGAGGAGCACTTGTTGGGAATCCAGGGGAGAGGGACCCGGAGACCAGCTGCACCAGTAGCACTGTAGATTGCCCTATTAACCATCTTGCGGTTTTCCGCAAAGAAAGAAATGCTTCAGAATTGTGGAGGAGACCCCCCTAGGCCTGACCAGAAAAGGGAGCGGCTCTGAACAGCGCACAGGGAGGCCTGGAGCAGAGGAGGCAGGGATGCGGGTGCTGCCTAGGTCTACCCTCCCCTGCGCTGCCAGGCTCATTCTCTTGGCTGCCAGCAGGGGCAGTTTGGGGTTTGACCTCTCTGGTGAGTTCCTCTCTGGGAATTGCCACCAACTGGTGATAGCTGTTTGCCTAAACCTACTGCTCCCCACTGTGGGAGGGGTCCATGTCTTGACTAATTGATAGATGTACATTAAGGGTTAGCGTAGCTTAGTGCTCCCAGTTAGAGTAGCTTAGGCCTTGGCTGTGCTAAATCTCGGTAAGACCCTCCTCCATCCTGCTTTCCCTCACTCCTCCAGAGTTACTTGGTAATGAACATCTTGCATGACAATCTCCCATGTCCTCAGGGAATCTCTCCCCAAAGGAACCCGTTGTGACTATGTCTGGCTCACAATTCGCAAGTGTGCAGTCATCATTTTCACATTCAGAGCAATTTTATGTTTGTTTTAGTGTAATTGGTACAGATTTAGTATGATTAATCTTTTGAAATGCTGTTATTTCACTGGAGTCATTTCAAGTGTGTTTATCTTTTATTTTAGTTATTTTTGAACATTTTAATTTTAGATATTTATTTAACGGAGTAAAATGGCTAAGGCAGTAAGCACAAGCTTCCCTGGGCGTCAGCTGTTTAAAGGCAGTAACTTTGGAGATGGACTGAATAGGCAGCAACAGAAACTCATTTATTTGATTACTTTCCAGTGATCAGAGAGGGATCATGGCACAAACCTGTGTTCCTTGTCATTGAATTAATGTAGATATTCATTTCCTCGGGTACTTTTCTAATATTACTAAACAAGGGAATGTATTAGTTTAATCAAATTGCACTTCGAGGAGGAGACTTTCATAATTTTCAGATGATCACTGCACACAGCATGAAAATGGCCAGCCCCTTGGAAGTTTCTACAGCATCATTAACTTGCAGAATATTTTTTTTCATCTGTCTTGATACACTACAAATGGACACTTGAGTTCTCAATTTTCAAGTAATGTAACAAGGATTTTTTTTTTTTTGTCTTTTTCTTTTTTATCGGTCCTGGGGATCGAATTCATGACTGCCTGCTTGCAAGGCAGGCGCTTATGCCGCTGAGCTAAACCCCCAGCCCCCTGTAACAAGGATTTAAGAGCACCCAGTTGTGGAGAACTGAGCCTTAGATTGGGTGTCATACTTTGATTATTTAGTAGCTAAATGAGATTTTCTTTTATCACTTCTCATCTAAGTAGTGAATAAATTTAGGAGAGAATGCTATTATAAATACAAAAGTAAATTTATAATCTTTAAAACAGCTAGAGAAAGAATACATTTTACATTTTCAGAAATCAACAACTGTAGTCTTTAGGCAGCAGTGTAAACAGTTTTGAGAATTAGTAGTGCGGAACATGTGTAGGTGTAAATGAACTTTATCAGGTATTCTAGAAATATGCAGTTAGCATTTGAAGCATCCTAATCAGGAATCCACTTTCAAAAGATGGTCATGTAATCATTTCAATTAACTGTATCAAAATTTACATCAGGAAGTTCATTAAGTTGCATCAAGTATGCTAGGAATCAATTTTTGAAATGAGTAGTAGTCAAGTGACTTACTAGAAAGACTGTCTGGTCTTCATCACTCAGGAGAAGGTGTTAAGTATGTGTTGAACCCAGTGGTACTTAGTGCCTACATCCCCACATATTTTTTCTCCACTTCACAGAGCTCCTCTTATACTGTCAGATCTTATTACCAGAATTGGTGTGTCTTCTAAACTTTTATTTTTATATTATGGGCCCAAGAAATTATCTGGGGTTACAGGAAGTGACTGTGAAATTTCTCATTAATCAGCATCACATGTCTAGAAGACCGTGGGCTTAACCTTGCATTCACTGGCCCATACTATCTGGTGGCAAGTTTATGGTGGAGGACATGGATGGCTTTCGTTTCCTCTTCAAGTTGCAGTACATCACTGATATCTTAATAAATGCTTAAAAATTTGCTGAGAGGACACACATTTGCTGAAGATAAATTTCTAACCCATTTTTAAAATAGGCAAGGAATTCAGAAAAATTTAAGACCTATAATTCTAGAATTCTAATGCAATCATTAGAGTAGTTTAGATTTCATTCTTTATTATGGGCATATTTGAAATTTGTACATATAATTTTATGGCCTGATTGAAAAATTTAGGTCAGAGATTATATTTCAAATTCTATCAAAGCCCATTAAATAGGGATTATGGCTCCCGAGGGCTTGTGTACGTCTTGCCTTAATGGGAAGGCTTACTGCTCAGTGGCAAATGAGCGGTGACAGGCAAAAAAAAAGACTTGTCTTTGCCAGTTTTCTGCTTTTTTGAGCAGAGCCAAACAAACATGATATTTGTGTAAGTTTTTTCAGTTTTCAAGTGTTTGCCACTAAACTA